AGGGAAGAAAAGAAAGGCCTGTTGTGGTTTGTGTATGTGATTGATGGTCTCACAACTATATATTTATTCTTTCCCCAAATACATTAATGGAGCCAGAGCAAGATTTCCAAATATCAGATTCATTTAAGAACTTCTAAATAACTAGGACAAATTAAAGAATTATGAATACTAAAATGAGATATATTTTTTAAAAAAACAAGATAAATTCAGGTGTGTGACAAGAAATAAAAATCCTTTCTGTGTAGCATAATGATTAAATTTACCTATTTGGCTTACTAGAAAAAGTCATCACCTTAGGACAAAATATTTTAGACCTTTGAGTTAACAGATCAAAACTTCTACAAAGCAATTTCTTGTCTCTGTGTCCATGCTAGTAGAGTGCCTGAGATATGGAGGTAGACACAGCAAGTAAGATCAATAAGGCATGCCAAACAGCCTGTTAGCAAACCTGCCTTCTTACTCAGAGGTGGGATGCCATTGATGCAACATATTGTCTTGATTGCAATTGAGGCAAAACCAATCACTAGCAATCTGCTTAAAGTCTTCTATCAAACAGTGAATTAACTTGAAGATTATGCAGAAAGAAAGCAAGGAAATAACTAATGAAGTGAATATGAAGGTGTATTGTGTCATGCAGCAATTATTTTCAGTGGGTGCTTTACAAGTATGAAACACTTTCTCTTCTTTCTCTCTCTTTCTCTCCCAAAGTCCAGATGTAGGGATGTGTCAAGGCTGAGCCATGTGCAGGAGTCTGAGGTTTGCTGGGAACAAAGAAATGTGGGATAAGCCAGTAGTTATGGCTATGGGATCAGTGACACAAGAAGAAGCAAGCCAGAAGTCCAGACCCAAGGAAATACCAGGAGAAAGGGTTAAGGGGAGAGCTAAAAACCAGGACTGAAGAACCATGTATGCAGGAATGCAGTAGCCCTTGGCACTGGAACTTGGCTAAGCTGGACACAGGAGTCCTTTAAAATTGTTTCTCCACAAAAGGATCCAATGGTCAGCCTGAGTGAGTGCAGTCAATCTGGAACTTTCTTCACCAAGATATTTCTTTTGCATATCAGTAGTTCCAGCAACTCCTGCTCCATCTTGTCCAAGTGTTTCAACCCACTCCTTTTTAAAGTCAGATAACATTAAGGAACAGTGGTTATACTGAATGGGCCATGTTACCAACTGATATGCTTTGGACTTTCTTGCTAGCATCCTTAACATTTCAAACCTGGGCATCTATATGTTTAAATACATAAAATAAATCTAGCTCAAATCCTCAAATGCAGTCTGCCGTGTACCCAACCATTTCTAACAGACCATGAATACAATTTCCACTCTATTTTACCACCTTTAACTTCTCATTACCATATGAATTATTAGTTGAGTCTAGAAAAAAAATGAAAGTGTTCATGAAAGCTTGCCCAAATATGCTGTATCTACAGTAATGTGGAATTTAATTTTGTAATCAGCTCCATTCTAAATGGTGGAGATGCTGAGGTTAAAAAAAATGCTGCAAACCAATTTATATGGAACCACAAGCATGCTTAATAGTATCTACCCATGAAACTACCTTCAATATAACCCTGCCCTGTTGGATGCCAGCACTATTTTCAATTTTCATTTGTTAGATATATGATCAACCATGTCAAATCTGCCCTGAGCAATAGAAGTTGGAAAAATAAAATGAAGTCATTTACTTAAAATATTTTGATAGCTATTTGTCCAAAAAAAAACCCTGGTCAGATTTTGTGCTCAAAGGCATTCACCTACAAAGTTAACCGGATGCTTTGAGAAGAAAACTAATTTAATTTCTACGTTATCTTCACTGAACATCTGTTAAACCAATATCCAAGGAAGGTAGTGTGTTCAAAATTAAATATCCTGCAGGTAGCCTTATTAGAATACATGCAACACTGAAATTTAACTGCTAACCACTCCATTATAAATGTGAAACCACAACAATTTAATTATTTTTCTGATGGGTATAAAGAAAAAAGGGGGCCAATACATCTCTAGTGCCAAACTACTCTTGTTGCTAATGTGGAAAGATTAGTACAATGAACAAATCATTGCATTGTCAAGTTAAAAATTAATTCCTCACCTTTTACACATTATGAAACACTTATAATTTTAACTGGTGTGTTAAACATCCTTTTCAAATGTCACATTTAACTGGCTCATTACTGCAAATTTAATACCAAGTTGCCGGAAGTGCTATCTAGGTATTTGTACAGCCCTTGACTGGGAATGTTGACATAACCTGCAACAAATTAAAATGAGTCTGCAATACACGCATTCAGATTTGTATGAATCTGACCTATAAGTTCTGCAGAGGGTGGCTTTTTCTGAGTCATGCAAATTCTGTGGACCATTTAAAAAGATGTTTTTGGGAAATGTATGCAAATACAAACTTGTGTGAATGCATGTTGGCTCAAGGGTGCATTTGCAAATAAGAAAAAAATATTAAAAATGACATCTCATGTTTCTTTGTGATTCTTAGAAACAAGGATCCCAGATGTATCTCCACTGACTTAAGAGATATTGAATCAGAAGTAACTCTAACTCTAACCATAATCCTATCTTAAAACAAGAAGGAAAACATTTGAATTAGTGTAGTGGTTGGACTGTTGAACTGGGACTTAAAAATTCTAGCTTCTAGTCCCCAGTTGGTCACACTAGGTACTAGGTAACACAAGTTACTAGGTAACTTTGGGCCAGTCACTGACTCCCTGCCTAACCTACCTCACAGGGTTGTTGTGAGGATACATTGAGAGAAAGAGAACCATGTAAGCTGCCTAGGTCAACTGCAACAGGAAAAGGGTGAGGTATAAATGTAATCATCCTCATCATCTTTTTTCATTAACTAGGGCATTTATATACATGGTAACCAGCATAACCTCACTTAAAAGTGTCTGTGTAACAGGACAGGATCTGGGTAATAGGCAACCCTGACAGCAAGCAGTGTGAACGTAACAGGAGCTTTCTAAAATCTTTTGTCCTTCTTTTTGTCTCCAGGCAACCTGCTCATAATATTTCTGACAGCCTCTGAAAGCCGCAGTGGCACAGGGAAGACGTTAACAGTGACACGAGGACATGAAATGTTCCGAGTCCACTGCCAGACTTCAAACTGCGTGCCTGTCCCCGGCTGTAATGTGATGTGAACAGTGCCATCCGGCTTTCACTGACAGTACCGTAGCTGTTTCAATCTTATGAGGAGATGCTATTCAATCCGAATACCCCATTATCGTTATCAGGGCTCTTTCACTTCAATAAAGAGCAGCTGTAAAAATGTCATGACCTCTGTGATAAGGGGAGGAAAACAGCCATTAGTAAACGTTCTCGAAAAAGACATGGCAGCGCCTTGAAATATGTTGGCATCATATTACTGAGCGATGACAGAAAAACAGTTGTACGTAGGCAAGCAAAGACATGAGCCTCAACTTTCTCCACCACCTCTTACTTTTTAAAAATTGTGGCTGAAAGCGATATATTACACGCATAGACAACAATGTATACCCATGTGGGCTATTGTTAGGTTGTAATTTTAACTTAGCAATTCCTAAAACCATCTTGTGCAAGATTATCTCTGATGGTTTACAACCTTAACTGTGTCCCTAGTGTAAGATAGAACTTAGCCTTGTGCTTCCCTAAAGGTTACTTTTTATTCGCTATTTGGAGCTAATTCAATGTAATATATTTTTTAAAAAAGATCTAATATGCCTTTCCTAGCAGGAAGAATTATACAGGAGTGTCATTACACATTTGCTGTCATATTTATTCTCAGCTGAAAATACAAGTTCAAGTAATGCAAAGAATTTAATGTGGGATCTTTGAGACAATTTAGCAGATGACATTCTAGAAGAAATATACAGGTTAATCTTGTTATTAGCCTGAATTTCATTACAATTAACACACAAACATATCATGGCCAAGACGCTATCTGATCTGCAGTTAGATCAAAGTATTTTCTGAGATTTTAGAATATTTCTATCACCATCTTATATTAACTTTCTAATTCTGTAGTGCAATGTCCACATAAGTAGGCCTACACTCTATTCCAGTTAGAACATTGTCACAAACTACCAAAAAAAAGTCTCAACATTTAATCTTTCTGCAGTTTACAGGGAGTTTTCCCCTGCAAACCAAATCATGCTCCGAATATGCACCCTCCCCAAATTTCTATAATACTAGAGTTATGGCACTGTTCCAGACCAAAACAACAGGCACTAAACAAAAGACCAAACAAGTTTAAGTACAGGTAATCTTAGTCTATTTTGTTAGCTAGGATTCTGAGCTACAACCTTTCAAAAAAAACCACTAAAGGAACGCATTTTAAAGCGATGCGTTTTAAGTTGGTTGGCCAAACCATTCTTATGCATATAAAAGGTCAACAGGTTAAACATTTTTAAAGCATTATAAAAAGATTTTTTTAAGATTGTTTTTCATAGACTCAGGAAAAATTAACCGGAAATTACCTGTACTTATAGAGAACTGAAAGTCATTCTTATGCTGATTAATACTTTCTGCTGAAATAGTAAAAATAAAGGCCTTTCATATGCATTATTTTCCTTGCTTGAAGTGCTGTTGGGTGGGGTAACAAAATGATCCCAAATGTGATAAATGCTAGTTCTCATATTGAAGGTTAAAGGATACTAGCAATATGATACACAACTGTAGAAAGGTACCTTAAAAACAGTAAATTACACAATATGAAATACTGATATTTTTGCCTTTCAGGTAATAATTTTGCACTTCAGCTATAATATGCACATTTATGAAATTTCCACTATATAAACTAAAAAACCCGCTAAGTTTCTCTTTTTAATAAAACAATTACTATTAAAATAAGTTATTCTATACCAATATGACTTTTTCATAATTTAGCATATTGATAGATAAGTTGTAGTATATTCACCATTGACAAAACAATTTCTTTATTTCTGCAAGGCCAGAAGTTTAAATAAATACAAGAATGTCACATGGCTTGGATACATCAGATGGCAAATTACCTTTGATAGGTCCCCAGCCTCCAAGTAGAAGCAGATAACAAATACGTTCCATGAAACCCAGAGGACTAACCAGACAGCATACTGTAGAAAAGAAGCGGGGAAAGAACAATACATTATTAATTCTGGTATCAGCCGTGTTTAAGTAATGCTTAAACTGCAAATCCGAAACAAGAAAGCAATATGACAGTCATTGATGCATCTGAAGGGGTTTTATTTACAAGAGAAGCAGAAAGAAGTGCCAGTCACACTAGAAAGAAGCTCATTATAGCCAGTGGTTGTAGATATCTTGCAGGAGTACACAGAGAGATCTCATATGGCTATTTACCTAGCACACATAGGAAGGATGAATTTGTTTAATTTGCATTTTAATACAAACTTAGCTAGTTTGTACATTCCAAACATGGACTGGAACACAGTTAAAGTTCACTTATCTGAATTTTGTGATGCAATTCTTCAATTAAAAATGTATCCAATAGCCATATATCAGGGAGAAATGGGCACAAAAACCTATACGTTGGTGATAATAATGTACTAGACTTGAATCTCATTGAAGGAGAAATGCTTGAAAAAATGCAAATCAGCAGAAATATGCACAAAATGCATACTTTTTGTATGCATTTTTAAAAATCATAAATAATTCAGAAATGGGATGAAACAAACTTGGAAAGATGAGAACTTAAGGAGACTCATTTTTCCAAACTTATGGTACTGTAAATGTAATGTTCAAGACCTGAGCATTTGTATCAAAGGAATCTGAAATTGTAGTTGTCTTAGCTGTAGATAAAAATCCAACTGGTGCTCTCAACAGGTGCAGAACCTAGGCCAGTGGAACATTTCCAAAGGCATGTGAAGATCAAAGAGAAATATATGATTATATTAATTATCTTTAATTTAGCACAGCTTGCTAAGCTTCCTGTAGCTTTGATTCCCAATCATTCCATCCATATCTGTGATCCAATATCCTATGGATCTTCTTCTATCCATTTGCCTAAGTACATGCCAAAACGAATGAACAAATATCCAAAGCAATCCCTAAATATTTCTACATGAATAAATGAAGAAAAATAGCTTTATGCTAACCTGCCTCATGTCCATAATAATTGAACTGATTATGCAGGCATTAAATCACTTCTGTAGAAAATTGTTTTCCAAGCTACTATAAATATAGCCATCAGGGCTGTATTTTCTCATTTTCTCTTTTTGTAAATATCATCATTTTATCTGTGTTAAGCACTTGTTTTTAGTCAATGCTATTATATTCCATTCTGCAATATTAAGTCCATTCACAGGTTAGACTGTTTCTTGATAGTTCTGTGTACTTCCAAATACTAATCAAGTTGTTTTGAACATTAAGAAAATGAAGGAAATTTAAACAGGGGGAGAAGCAAAACAAGGCGGAGGCTGTGTGCAGGTTTGGATATCACAGTAAATGAAGTTGTCCCATAACAGGAACAAGCTGCAGCAAGCAGATTTCTCTATGTGTTTTCCCCTATTTCAGAATGGCTTTAAAGATGAGATCAGACCATATACTTCTGTTGTTAATGTTTTGCACCTTGGTGTTTTGTCTGAAACAAAGAAAAGTTGTCGTTAATCTTAACTATGGTTAGTTTGAAACAAATCAACTTAAAACAGAATATGAAGCTGGCTTGTTTTAAAAACCATAAATGGTTAACTACATAGTTAAGTTTAGTTATAGCCAAGTCCTAAACCACAGTAATACTCAAAACCAAAGAGAATTTGGTTTCCAATTTTCTTCTTGTTTCTGCACTTGCAAGAAACATGCAATGTCAAGGATTGCTCTTGTATGTTCTTGCCATGGTAACACATGGTTTATCATGAATAAATGGGTGAATTTCTTATTACAGACAAATCACAGTTTTGATACCCACGAACAAATGCATCAATTAGAAATACAAGCAATTAAAACAGTTAGATAAAACCAATCAATTTTCAAAAGGGTCCCATTTTTTTCTAATTTGCATTGCAATAAAAAGATATTTGCAACATTCTCAGTGATGTAAGATAAATTATTCCTTTAAAAGAACAAAACCATATTTTCAGAAGATTATCCTGGGAGAGTTCTCAGTAGGAGAATAAGTCTCTCTCTGCCATTCCCATACAAATTATAGACTCTGTTACGCCAGTGCTACGCAAGCACAGAAACGTGTTAATCGAGATCACTCACCTAACAGTGCAGAGGGCAGCAGATTAAAGCAAGCAAGCATAAATGCTCTCTTGTGTTTGGGAACAACTAGTCTATACAGATCTGATGCTATAACAATTCTGTATTTTAGATTAAGAACATGGGGGGCAGCAAGATGTATGAGCTCCAATTCTCAAATACTGAAGATCTAAATCCATTAATCTTTATGCAATAGAAAGGAGTGCCTTCCTTAAACCATTGTTGCCCAGAGTCTCAAGAAAAAACAAGCAAACTTAAGAATCCTCTTCTCAGTCTTATCCACTGACTAACAAAAGAATCTGGGAACAGGGAATATAGCTATCAGGATCCCCAGAAAATGCTCATAAACCCACCATTTTAGGTCATCTATTTAAGCTTGGCATGTATCAACTTCCATTATCTCATTTTTTGACTGGGTAACCTCCCAAAGGGACAAAGAGAACACTGTGGACATAATCTGCATAGACTTTAGCAGAGCTTTCAACATAGTGCCACATGACATTCTATATGCAGATTAGCAAAAATTGGAATAGATGGAAAAACTATTAGGTGGATCCAAAATTGACTGCTAAATTAAACACAAAGAGCACTCATCAATGGTACCTTCTCAAAGTGGATGGAGGTAGCTAGTGGGGTGTCACAGGGTTCAGTCCTGGGCCCAGTGCTCTTCAACATCTTTATTAATAGTGTAAATGAAGAAGTACAAGGAAAGATAATCAGATTTGCAGATGATACAAAACTGGATGGAATGGCAAACACCATAGAAGACAGAATGAAGATCCAGGATGATCTTGATAAACTTGACCACTGGGCACAAAGCAACAGAATGAGATTCAATAAGGACAAGTGCCAAGTTCTCCACCAAGGAAAAAGAAACCAAATGCATTGATACAAGATGGGGAATATGTGGCTCAACAGAATTGAAAAAGAAAAAGATCTTGGAGCAGTTGTGGACAATAGGTTAAACATGAGCCAACAATGTGATGCAGCCACCAAAAGGGCAAATGCCTTTTTTGGATGAAGTAAGAGAAGTATTACTTCCAAATCATGAGAAGTAGTAGTTCCTCTATACTCCTCACTAGTTAGTCCTCACCTGGAATACTGTGTCCAGTTCTTGGGCACCAAGATTTAAGAAAGATGCAGGTAAATTAGAAAGGGTCCAGAGGAGGGTGAGCAAAAATGATCCAGGGTTTGGAACACACTGCCCTATGAGGAGAGACTGAGAGAACTGGGCCTGTTCAGCCTTGAGAAGAGAAGACTGAGGGGGGACATGATATCCTTCTATAAGTACCTCAAAGGCTGTCACAAAGAGAAAGATCAAGATCTCTTTTTGCTGATGCCAGAGTGTAGGACATGGAACAATGAATTTAAGCTGGGACAACCCAGATTCAAGATGTACATCAGGAAAAGCTTCCTCACTGTCAGAGCAACACAACAGTGGAACCAGCTGCCTAAAGAGGTGGTGGGCTCTCCCATGCTAGAGACATTCAGAAAGAAACCAGACAGCCATCTGAGTGGGATGGTGTCACTTGGTGTCCTGCAACAGCAGGGGGTTGGTCCCAATGGCCTTCATGGCCACTTCCAACTCTACTATTCTATGATTCTAACCACATAATCCTGAGGTTGTGTGATCAAACACCTAAATGAGCCAGAGGAACTTTGGGATAGTCTGTTGGTTAAGATTAGTTAATTGCCTGCTTCCATTGCTCATAGCAGGCTCAAGTTCTGTATTTCAACACCTGGCTGTCTCACATGGGGGACTTGCTCTATGATGTAGCTGTATATCGTCCATTTATATCTCTTTCGGGCTTTGATTAATATCAAAACTTTGGATTTATTATAGTTGGCCTTCTGTGGGAATGGGATCTGAATTTTCTTCCTAGCTTTAATAAGATGCAGAATGTGATAATGTATTCATAGATGTAACCACTAATTCAGCTGAGTAATTAATTAATGTCTGGACTATTGTTGCTTGAATGGATCAGGTATGGGAAAGTGTTTTGCTTGAGCAGATCAGATGTGCAAAGCAGTAATTACAACAATTTTTAAACTTGGAAGGTTACTGCTCCCCTTCCTAAAACTATCTTCCCTATAAAGCAAGCCAATATTATTATCACCACATTGCAGATGTAAGACTTAGGCTGAGAGAGAGTGACTCACCTAAGATCATCAAATGAATTCACTGTTGAGGCAACATTTGAACGAAGCACTTCTTGGTTCACTATCACCAACATGCTTAACCACCACACTACACCAGCTCCAATTTGCTGCCTTATCTCTTGTAGTTATTGGATTATAATTATCTCAAAAACAAAGACAGTTTCACTACAAATTCTCACTGTAGATGTTTCAAATTTGGCCTATCTCCAATCTTTGGATTGCATCCATTTAAATGCCTCTTCGGCTTCATGCTTGAACTAATCATTCTGGAAACTCAACACTGAAGGTCTGTGGCAAGACAATGAACAAATCCCACTGGTACTTCCTATTTCTAATTAGAGCTACCTTTTATGAGAGATCTTCAAAGTGTTAGCTCCCCCTGTTCCTTTTCTGGGAATACTAGAGAGATACATTATCTGACAGCAACCACCACATACATTACAGGACATGCAAATCAATAAGGTCCTTATGATAATAGAGAATTAGCCTTGCCAGTCTCTGGGCACAAGGGGCATCCTCTACTTTTCAGAGAAACACAGAAGGAAGGGATACATTCAACAAGTGCATAGACAGAGTAAAGGAAGAAGCAGATTTTTCTATTAAAGTATTAAGAGCCTGTAGCTCTTTTAATGTCTGGACCTAGAGAGAGTATTTTCTGCACACCAAATACTTGTAGAACATACACCCCTAAGAAAGTAATCACCATATTGCTGAAATGGGTAGTACTAGACATACTTGG